CCCCAAAACCCCAAAACCCCAAAACCCCAAAACCCCTTATATCTTTATTGTAATTGGAGTAATTATTAAAAATGTTTCTCAGATCCAAATTCATTATTCCTTCCTCAAGGCTCCCATTCTTTACAGGATATAGCAAATCCACATGGTGACCTCAAAGAATGATGTGTAGCATATCAGAGGCTACTAATGTGATTGATGGAAGTTCCCACGACTTTACTCAAGCAAAATATGATGCAATCATTGTCGGAGGTGGGCATAATGGATTAGTCTGATCAAACTACCTCGGACTCAAAAACAAGAAGACTCTAATTCTTGAGCAAAGAGATGTCATTGGAGGAGCAGCTGCAAGTGAAGAGCTAGTTCCAGGATACAAATTTTCAAGATTCTCCTACCTTTTATCTCTCCTGAGGAAAGTAGTTATTGATGAGATTTTTGAGAAAGATTGGCAGGATAAAGTGAAACTTTACCCAAGAGACCCTTCAAGTTTTACTCCAACAAGAGAGAAAAACACTTATCTGCTCATGGGAAAGGATCATAAGTTTAACATGAAAGAAATATCCAAATTCTCAAAGAAAGATGCAGAAATGTTTGGTCCATATGAAGAGAAATTAGAGGAAATAGTATCATTGATATCTCCTTATATTGACAGTGAGCCATCTTTGAATCTGAGAAACCTTGCTGGTAGCTTTTTCAGTGCTAGAAAATCAATGAAGAGTAGCCTCCCAGAGCTCTATCATCTTCTTTCAGCTCCCGCGGCTACAATCTTAGACCAATATTTTGAATCAGATATTTTGAAAGGAACGCTAGCAAGTGACGCGGTAATTGGCGCAAATCAAGGCCCATACTCAGCAAATAGCTCATACGTGCTTATTCACCACGTCATGGGAGAGGTACTCGAGAAGGGAGTCTGGGCCTATGTTGAAGGAGGAATGGGAAGCATCTCAACCTATCTAGCTCATCTTGCTAGAAAAAGAGGAGCAACAATAGCATTGAACTCAATAGTTGATAAAATCATTACAGATCCAACATCCAAGAAAGTTTTAGGAGTTAAGTTATCTGATGGCCAAGAGATAATTTGAGACACTGTTATAACTAACTGAACCCATCATGTTGTCTACAATCAGCTCCTAGATAATAGAGAGATCTTACCGGAAGATTTTGCGAGATGTAAGGAATCTCTCTAATTCCCTCTAGAAATGCAATAAAATTTATGAGAAATAATATTAGATATTCGCTTTAGTTTCTTCTAATTTAGTAGCAGAAGTTCTAATTTCAATACCTATGGTTCATAAATTTCCAGCCTGAGAAATTCGACAGAAATTTCCTGTAATATTTTTTAGAAGCGAATAGTACGATGGCCATTTTGAATAAATCTCCTATAAGATATGATGACTTCTAGTCTTTCATAATAGCCCTTTTTGGTAGTATATCTTTGCTTCTAAAATAGCATTAATCTAATACTCTCTTTATGCCACTCAAAGTATTTAGTATCTCAAAGTTCTGATTTTTGACTAAATTTTTCATAACCTTTAAGAATTCAAAACTGACTCAAATTTCTACCTTAACGATTAGTAGCTTAAATTAAATCAAGAATTTTAAATTATCTTCTGATGCATAGCTAAGCTGAAACTCTGAAACCTTGGTAATTATGAGTTTTAGACTCTAAACTTATTATAAACTTTCATTTTATAGCGAATAATGTCAATTATGAAGGCGTACAGGTCAAATTTAATATGATCCTCAACGATGTCCCAAAATTTAAGTGCCTAGATCATCTTTGGAACGATAATGATACTTTTGGAGAGAAAGTAGAAAAGTTTAGACACTACTTGCAAGGAACAATTCATATAAACTCAGAGAGTATGCAGCAGATTCATGATTCATATTCAGATTCCTTTAATAGAAAAATTTCTAAGAGGCCATTTGTGGAAATGGTGATCCCTTCTATGCTAGATCCAACTCTGACCCCTCCAGGAGCAGAAAAATTAGTTTGTAACATGTTCGTACAGTACGCACCTTACACCCTGAAGAACCGTGATTGGGATCAAGAGGTAAGAAATGAATTCATTTCAAATACCTTCAACCTAATTGACGAATACGCACCAAATTTCTCAAAATCAGTGGAATTTAAGGATGTTGTTTTCCCTCATGACTTAGAAGATATGCTTAATATGACTGGAGGAAACATCTTCCATGGAGCTCTCGATTTCAACAACATGTTCTTTTCGAGACCCATGCCTAATTATGCAGGCTACAACTCCCCAATACAAGGACTATGGTCTTGTGGCTCATCAAATCATCCTGGTGGAGGGGTGATGGGAGCTCCAGGTAGAAATTGAGCCTTAAAGCTATTAAAGTCAGGATTTTAAACAACCAATTAGAATATTACTTTATGGGGTTTTGGGGTTTTGGGGTTTTGGGGTTTTGGGG